TATTTAGGACATAGAATGTGTCACCAACGCAAAATGTGGACCTACGCCGTCACGAGGTTCTCTACAAAATGCAAAAATTTATTAGGGTTTTTTGCAATTCCATTAGTTATTGGGGTTTGGTGAAATTTTTAGAATTTTTTCTAGGGATTTAATGCAAAACACTATAAGTTCTTAAGAATTTGGTGTAATTTGCCCTATCTAAAAATTAGGACCTTAGATAATTAAAATTGCTACCAGTTCTTCCCATTCTTATAAGTTTGTTTCAAATTAGTCCCTCCAATCAAGAGCTAGATATTAGATTTGGAGAACTTAATATATATGTAGCAATTTCAATCAGTTGAGGGTCTAATATTCAAAATACTGAAGATGTAAAAGAGGGGGAAAATGACTATAGCATTACTAGAGCTAAAATGCCATATTCAACCAAAATAACTCTTTCTTGCATGCCAAAATGTTTGATATTCTAAGAAAATGTTAGCTTAATAGAGAAGGCATTTTTTGGCAAAACATAAATACAATTAGTTAATAGAGAGACCTAACTAGGTCGTGAATCCTAAGTCATAGAACCATATAAAGCCTTTGAAATTTCATTAGATCCTAAAAATCATTTTAAGGAAAATTAAGGTACATGCTCATGCTTGCTAGAGAAATTGCATTTATCAGTAGAAAAGCTAAACCAAATGGACTATTGAAAGCATGCTAAAATAATTTTTTGCTTTAAAATATAATTAATATTAAAATTGATAACATTTGTAAAGATTAATTCCTAATTTTTTGCTTCAAAATATAATTAATTATAAAATTGATAACATTTGCAAAGATTATATTCTAATTTGTTTATGCCGTGTCATTTGAGAACTTGTTGTGTCCTAATTTCCTACTAATTTTCTTGCATACTGATGTTGCAGATCTAGTGTTGGAGCTTTAAAAGAGGGAAGCAATCTGGTGGCAATAATATTGCAAATTATCTAAAACAAGAAATGAATGCGTATTATTTTATATAAGCAAATATGTGTTCTTTCTGTGTGAGAATTATGTGATAATGTTTATTTGTGAGAGGGCTTACCGTATATGAAAAATAAAGCTGCATGAAGGTGTTGCAAGTGTTATAAGAACATAATCAGACAGACATGTATTATATGTGGAAATTTGCTCGTGTTTTGAATGGAATTTTCTATTGTAATTAATTTGAGTAAGTAATAGTAAATCGATTTCGATGCGTGATACTTTGATTGCAACTGTGAGAATTTATGCATATATGATTGAAGATGAATTCATTCCTTGATGCGTGCAAAATGTTGAAGGGGCTTTTGAATGTGTTGCTTTTCTATTAAAAAAATTATGTCGGAAAGAGAAGAGAAAAGTGTGACTATTTTACCAAAGTCTAATGGGGAAAATGTTGAATTAGTTAATTGAAAATTGGACCAGAAAATAAACATCTTACAAATTTCGAATAAGTTGGTTTTCAGCTTATACTTAGAACTAATCTTAATCTTAAGAAGATCTCAATTTTTCATAAAAAGTGATATCCGGGATTTTACTACAAGTTAAAAGCAAATTCAGTACCTTTAAAATTTGTTAAATTATGCAAACCGTATGTGAATTACATGAGTTTCTAAATTTTATTTTAAATAGGATTAATTACAGATAGACTCATGTAGCATCACACTTTGAAACTTATTACCCTTTCTACTTAATTTTTGCAGTAAACCCCTTGGTGCAATTTTTTTACTCTATTACATGCATGGGTAAAATTTTGACAGTGTAATTAGTGAATCTATGCAAGGATAAAAGAGTAATAAAAAAGAGTCATCCAAAGGGGTCAATTTGCCAAAATCAAAATGGGTAATGAGTTCCAAAGGGGTCAATTAGTGAAAATGGTTTCCCCCAAAATAAAAAAAATAAAAAAATAAAAAAATTAAGGCTTCGTTTGGATGTCATGGTGTTTTTCTTGTTGTGTTTTTGTAAAAAAACACAATGGTGTTGTTGTTGGGTCCTTTTGTTTTGATAATGACTAACAAATAATTTATAAGTAATGTTGTTTGTCTAGTGTTTGTGTTTTGTATTTATTCTAGGCAAACAATATGTTGGAGGATGGATGAAATCGAGCATTCGCGATCATATCCAATAGAAGTTGGCGAAATAGTGGAGTGAAGCATTACAATTCAAGTTGAAGATCCAAGTTCAAGCTTCATCCACAAGGTGTACCAAGTTGAGCTACATCGAAGATCAAGATAGCTTGAGTAATTTAGTTTAGGTTTATACTTGTGTGTAGATACTTTAAGCTCATATATGCACGCACACACGTATTTGGTTTTTATATATAGAGTTATATATATATAAACAAATGAATATAATTGGTAAATAAATACTTGTTTCATGTTTATATGCCTACATATGATTTCATCAAATATCAAATTCATTTAATTCAAAAAAACATGTTTTATTGGATAATACAGTATATTTTGAGAAAATAATATATTCATTGTTTATAGACTTCATAACAATAGTTTACATCTTTCTTTAAGTCTATAAAATCAGTTTACAAAGTTTTAAAAGTTTGTTTAAATCAATATGTCAAAAACATGTATGTTTAGTTTCATGTTTTTGGATATTTTTGCAAAATAATGATATTTTACAAATGGAAGGTGATTTTTGAAAATCAGTTTTTGTAACATGTGTATTATCATGTCTACAATTATTTTCCAAAGTTTTATATTTTTTTGATTTTATTTACTATTTTTAAAAGGGGTTTGAAAATCAGATTTAATGTTTCAAATCAGGCTGATACAGTGTTATCAGTCGACTGATAAATGTGTTCAGTTGACTAAAGAAATCGTCTGGAATAACAAAAAGTTTTTGTTTCATATTGAGTTTAATTGTTTTTATTGAATCTCTTTGTTCACACACAACCATTGAGCTTATTGTATTTTCATGTATAGTATAATTTGGGTTGTGAGTTTTATGTGACTTAGAATGTGAGCTTTCATTGTGTTCTCATCCATAGTAGAGAATAACCATTGTTGTATTTGTGCTTAATTGTGAGGTCACTTTGTATTACACTAGTACACCGAGAGGAGTGTGTGGTGAGAGACGAGGTTGTCCTAAGAGGAGTGGGGTAGGTAGTAATGCCTAGAGAGAGGTTATAATTTCTAACACTTGAGGGAGACATGGGCTAGAGACCAACACTTGAGATGGTAGTTAGTGTGTTTACATTGTGAGATTATGAACGTTGACCGGTGAGCGTTGAAAACCGATATTGTGTGGTGTAAACGTTTTCAGGTGATCGTTGAAAACCCGGTGTGATAGTGAATTTCTCCCCGGGAGTGGGGAGCGGAGACGTAGGACGAAGGTCCGAACTCCGTGATCATATTGTATGTTTGCATTGTTTATTTACGCACTATCACTCTTGTTTATTTATTGTTTATTTTACCATTATGTTAGTTTATATATATATATATATATATATATATATATAAATGCTCATATCTTGTTGAATATTATTCTTGCTAGGATATATTTATTAATAAGTTTTTAAATTAACATAAATCGGATTAGATTAGCATAAATCCTATTCACCCCCTCTAGGGTTCCTTCCTAGTAGCATTAGGGTGCTTTCAGTTGTGTTTTTTTCTTACAATGTTTTCAAAACACCATATTAAGTATTTTTGGTCAACACTAGTTTGACCCATTACATTATTAGTATTAAATATATTATTAACATATTATATACTTAATTATAATAAAATATATTAAAAAAAATATTATAATATTTATGTTTATATATTATATATTTATAAATATTAAATATAATGCAATGTAATATTGTATAAGTATTATAATATTATATTGTACTTTAATGAGTTATATTATATTATAATTTTGATTACATATTATTTTCAAATAATTATGTATTTAATTATTTGGCATATAATTTTTTATTATCATCTATTATATAATATTTTTATAATAATAATAATATTTTTATAATGTACATATTTATACTATTATTAATATAATATAATATAATATTATTAATAATTAATATTATGTTTTACTAGTATGTTACTAATAAATTAATATATTATAAATATTTTAAGATTATATAATATATTATAGTTTTAAATATGTTAGACTTTATTAAACAACTTTAATAATATATTAATAATTAATAATATAAATAAATATCATTATATTATGAATATTTTATATTACATTACTTTGTTAGTAATAAAATATTTTATTATTAAAAATTATTCTACTTATAATAAATTATATTTATTGTATAATAAGTAATATTTTATATATTATATTACATTTACAATACAATAAATTATTATTATTACATTGATATTTTATTATTAAATATGTTACTATTATATAATATTTGATAATTATTAATTTATTACAATTTATTTATTAAAAAGTTAATAACATTATAGAAATTATATTATTATATAGTATATTATTTTGTCATTATTATATTATTACTTATGATAAATAATTTTTTATTATTTTTATTAGTTTATTTATATTTTATTATTATTTATTATTATATAATACGTTATTAACATATTACATACTAGCATTTAATATGTTATTATATTATTATATAAGATATTTTATAATTTATTATATTAACTATAATATAGTATAATAAACATGTTAATAATAACTATATATTAATTATATTTAATATATTATGTTAAATATTATATTGACACATTTTCAAACTCAAAACCAAAACACCAACTTAAAACCTCTAAAATGTGTTTTGAAATAAGTATTGTGTTTTTAGTTTGATGATGATTTAGCTCAAAAAATATCATGGTTTTTATTTTTCAAACATATGATGTTTTGTTTTCGGCAAACACACCATAGAAACAAGTAAAACACCATGATATCCAAACGGAACCTAAAAAATTAAAAAAATGGTACGTTGATATGAGCTGGGCCTCAGCCCATTATCATCTTTGAAAATCTACACTGTACTCTTCACATATTTACTGCTTTGCCCCTCTCTCTCTTTCCTCTCTACTCCACCCAAAACCAAAACCCAGGTCACTGAAGAAAAATGGAGGCAACCTCCGTCGCTCTCTCTTTATACCCACCAAAATCACAGCGGCCCAAGTAAGCCCATCTCAATTTGTAGCAGAAATAACAGTGAATTTGTATTCTTATTCATCTTTAAACAAAACCCATTTCCTTGTTTCTGTTTTGCCTTTTTCTTTGCAGGTCATTGAAGAGATTTCGAGCGCTTAAGGTCTCATGTGATCATTCTTCCATCGAAGTAAGCTAATGGGCTTTTTTCAATTAGAAGTTTTCAATTTATTTAATAGATCGGTCTGGTTGAATTTGATGTTTGAAGCAATAGTTAGTTGAATTCCATGCCAGTTTTTGTTTGATGTTTGTAGAAAAGATATGGGTCTTTTTTTTGGGGTTTTTTTTTCCCTTATGGAACCTGGTTGAAGTTGTATTCTTTATGAAATGCAAGCCAATTTATAATTATTATGATAAAAATTTGTAGGGTATGTATTTGTATAACATTGATTTTTTTGAGAGAAATTGAATTGCTTTATTGATGATAATCAGCAATTACATAATCATTCAGCAAAAAAGGCAAAGCTGAGCTCCATGTAGTGAGAGCCTTAACAACGATAAAATGAGAAGCGATAGTATGAGCCACAGTGTTGCCTAATCGTTTAACATGAGCAAAAGAAATAGAATGAAAACAACCTATGTTGTCTTTTATATCATCCACAATAGCACCATAAATTGCAAGGCACCTTTCCTTGGAGTTGATGGCATGAATTAAAACTTGGCAATTAGATTCCACGATGACATCCTTATAACCATGCTCCAAAACCAACATTAGTCATGTAATATTGATCTTGCTTCACAAGTTGTAGCATCAGAGTAATCGGCGATAGACATACCACCTGCGAGACAAACCACAACATGATAATCTCTAATGACAGCTCCAATAGCTGCTCCATGGTGCGAGGACAACCCATCACAGTTCACTTTAACAAACCCCCTGCTTGGGGGAGGGGGGGGGATCAAATTTCAATGCTCCATTGACTAGTCACAGCAACTTTATGTCTCGTATTCTTGTGGGCAATTCAAAGTTTTTGAATAGAGAAAACTTGCAACCATACATAGTCCATGAAATACAATCTTTGTTTCTTTTATGCCATAGCCACCAACACACAACAAGAATCTTTTCAAGCTCAGCCATACCTTGCCCATTGAGGATTGAAACAAACCAATTATCCATATTTTGATCTTGAGGAGGCAATAAATTTGCTAAAGACCACACCTGTTTAGCAACCACACATTTCATGAATAAATGTTCTCTAGTCTCCACATTATCATGGCACACAGGCCACATTACCTCAATAGGAATACCATGGTGTGATAAATTATCACAAGTAGGCAAAATATCTTTACTAGCTCGCCATCCAAACATGTTTACCTTTTTAGGTACTTTGCTTTTCCAAATAGCTTTCCAAAAGGACATATCAGTACCTCCACCAACCAAGCTTGTATACGTGCCCAATGCCCAATGATAAGGACTTTTCACAGAGAAAATCCCACGGCTGTCAGGGTGCCACATGAGAGAGTCGCCACGGCTTCGTATGGTCAAAAGGATAGCTAAGATCGCAGCATAATCCTCAGCATTAAAAATTTGTTGTATGTTCGCTCTGTCCCACTGCTAATTAACATCAATTAGTTGCGAAACGAAGGTGACTCGAGTGGTTGGCGTGGAAGTAACTTTGCATTGAGGAAGAGATGGGTCCCATCTATTATGCCATAAATTAACTGTACTACCATATCCTATTTTCGCACAAATCCCATTATCCAAAGGTGATTATTTATGTAACTAATTTCTTCTATTTTAAACGAGGGAAAGCAACTGTGAAGGTGGTTAAGAGTAGGGATGCAATGGAACTCTTTGTTGTGCTTGATTTTGCAATTGATTGAAAACTAGGATATAAGTTGACACTATACTAGGTGATGAAATTGAAAGTATCAATGTCGGTAGATTTCATATAGCCTATATCGGTCAAGATTCTAAAGAGAGAAGACATTTTAGGCAGGGGTCTGAAAGGTCTGTGTTAGTGTACAATTCAATGAGCAAAGTGTACGATCATAAAGTTCATAAAATAGCATGAACATGTTGATCACGATATCTAAAGGCTAGTGGTTGCAAAGTTTGCATTATGCTTGTGACTTCTTAGAGGACAGCTAATATATCAATGGCAAATTCTAATAACATTTAATACAAGACAACGCAGAACGTATTTTTCTATATCACGGTTTGCTAATTGGATAACAATACTCATTCATAAAATTCGGTTTGTACAGAAATTTATGGGAATATATTTGATGATTTCTCTCCCTCCCTCCCCCATCCCTTTTATTTTTTTTTCTTTTTTTTCTTTTTCTTTTTCTTAGTATTCTGGTGTTATTGTGGAAAAGGATCATGAGCTGAAGTTTACTACTACAGTGTTGTTCATCAATGTTCTGCAGTGGAACTCTTTTCCATGCTTGGTGTTGCTACTGTTTGGATAATGGGACACAGAAGATATTCTAATATAAGGACTAAACTTATATTGGTCGGTGAAAATGAAGTTATCAATGCAAATATGGAGGTTGTTTCGTCATTAGCTTGGTAGATTCTAAAATTAGTTGAAAAATTCTCTACTTGGAAATGTAACAATTCAATACAGAAACTGTATAAACTTCATAAAGTAGCATAACGATGGTGATGGCAAGATGACGATATAAAGTAGCTTGTGTAAGTGACGTGCGTGACTTCTTGAGGACTCTTTCTATATTAAGGGCATATTTTATCAAAATCTGATGCCATGTCAATGCATTTGCTCTTTTTATTACGCTTTTGTTTATTGGATAATAATACTCATTCACAAGATTTGGTTTATGTAGAAATAATATGGATTATATTGGAAGACTTTTTAGTTCATCTATATCATGGAGGAAGACCATGAACTAAATTACTACTGCAGTGGTGTTCATGAATGTTGCCCTTCTTTGGAGTTTTTTTATCATGTTCTAATACAAAATTTCACTGTTGTCCTTTTCTAATTATTTTATTTTTCTTACCAAATTTTATTTGGAATCCTTTTCGTAGAAAGGTCTTTTTATTTATTGGTTTTGTTTTTTTCTTCTGCATCATACAATGAAAATCGTGCTTCTTATATGCAATAAAAAACTACTAAAACAATACTTGTTCGACATATATTAACAGGAAGGAGAGAAATGAAAGCTTCCTCATTAAAGTGTTTGACACCACTAGACTTCGCTCACTGTTCAGCCTTTTTTGCTAAATTTTGGTACAGTCAACAGTTTTTGTTCAGTCGTAAGGTGTCCTTTTCTCCACTAAACCTCCTCCTAACGTTATCTTGATTCTTACAACATTAATAATGTCGGACTAAGATCCTTACCCCCCCTGAAACAATAAAGAGTTGTCTGAATTCTACGTCTTAGTTTCAGCCAAGATTTAGTTTACTAAGATCATAATCTCTCACAATACAGTATTATCTTAAGAGATGCGGTTTCTCTTACAAATTTCATATGTTATAGAATAGTGCATTAAAAGTTTGCTGCATGCTTCAGTGAACTAAGAGCTTTCCCAGCTTTTATGACAATTCAGTTTTGTTTCTTGAAGGTGAGGACTGTTAGTTATCGACCTCCCGGAACTGAGCACAACCTTTTGAATGAAGTTTGTTTCTCCCTTCCACAGAAAAGGTAAGGATATAAAAATGTTATAACTTTTGTGAGTAAACTTTAGGCTTCTCTCTAATGAACAATCATATTGATCATATAGCTTTGGCTTGATATTTGGACGAAGTGGAAGTGGGAAAACTACTCTATTACAGGCATGCCTTTCTTAATTTACCACTTACTTTTATCTATCTTTGGCTTCATACTCTAGTTACAACTTCTTATCATAGCTCACCTATGCTTTCCATCCTCTACAGCTTCTTGCTGGGTTTTCAAAACCTACCTCAGGATCAGTTTGTGTTCAGAAGTATGGAAATGATGGAAAACCAAATAGGTTGCCTGAAATACTGACACCAGAAAAGGTTGGCATTGTATTCCAGTTTCCTGAGAGGTAAGAACTGCTTCTTGTACTTGATACTGCTGAGTTATGTTCCTTCCTCGGTCCTGTTGTAATTTAGTTTTCTTACCACCATAATCTTTTAACAAACTATTTAACTGGACGGGTTCAATTAACTTTCAAATGGTGACATTATAAAATGGAAGCACTTTAACTTTATAGATTTAGAGTCAACTGAATTGTTGGATTACCTTTGGAATTGGTGGATGGTCCACTTAATTTGACATAAGTCTCTCTCTCTCTCTATATATATATGTCACACCCCGGTACCAAAATAAAATACTTTAGGACATGACTCGGCTGGTAATGCAACCATTCGGTCACATTCACTCCTCTGAATCATCCTGTATACAGATATATTGCCTACAAGAACTACTACATAGAGCATGTAACTAAGATAACAAAGTGAAATTGATAGATAAAGAAATCAGAACAAGACAAAGTTCTCTTACATGTCCTCAACTGTCCAAAGTAGGAAACAGGATCAATACATTATAGTCTGAAATACCAAAGTTTATTACATGACAAGTCTCATAACGATGTAACTACCTAATACAAAGGAAGTAGAGAACTGATATAACAACAAGTGATCACTGTTGCTGAGCTTGCCCCTCGAAATACTCTCGGTCCTACGAAGAAAGAATGGTTCCCGAATCTGGGGCGAGCAAACCCCAGAGGAGTCAGAAAACTCCCAGCAAGCATGTAAAATGAGAAAATTGTGCTCGTGTCAAACAAGTATAAATAAAATATGAAATCTAAATTTCGAGGTGATATAAGAAAAAGGCTCATCGTAAATATCAAACAAAGTCTACCATAATGCTCACAAATACATTATTCTTAATTTATATGTTATTTGAATTAGAGGAGAATGATATCATGTATATAAATCGGCTTTCCCGTAAAACGTCCCGGGAATACGGCGACAAGTATTGTATTGACCATTGGCCTTATCATTTATCAAATCAGTATGTACATGCCTTATCATTTATCATATCAGTATGTACATGAACCACTTATATACACTTTATATTCTTCATCCAATTCCCCTTTATAAACCCCATGTTTGTCAGTTAATTTTTTATTGATTTTGCATGAAATGTTGTGCACTAACCACAGAGTTATTGTGGAACGACTTCTGTAAAACTATGAAAAATAACCGTGAACCAAGAACATGTCCAATCAAGAATGTGTGCACCGTCTAGTCGATGCTATAATAATAATAGCCAAGGAAATCTCATATCAGGGTATAGATATCGAGAGCATAGCCATGCTATGAAAGCACGCTTATAAATCATATTTTTAACAGGAGTCGTCTTCATGCACAGTCTCTCCTATTGGATAACAATTAGGTGATTAAGTAACAATTTTTCATAAAGTCATTCATGTCAACCACAATATCAGACATAATAAATACTATATGTATAAACCTATTTTAGTCTACTCATGACCTTTCAGGTGATCTCTAAAATCAATAGCTGGTCTATAGTTAACAAATTTATATGTAAATGTAAAGCTTCCATCTATAAAGACTTGGAACATATGGCAGAGCTTTTATGCAAGGGCTTGAATTATATTTAAGTTTGTTCCAGACTGGTTACAATAAAATTTGGTCTGGTCTGGTTCAGTCTGGGTAATTTGTACTGGTTTGGTTCAAATTCGGTTATGGTCTGGTTCATATTCGGTTCGTCTAAACCGGTTCTAGTTTAGTTCAATCTGGGTTCGGTTCTAGTCTGAACTTAGGTTCGGGCTGGTCCAAACTGGTTCTGGTTTGACTTGGGTTCGGGTTCAAGTTCAAACCAAACCAAAAAATATATTTTTGTAAAAGTGAAACTTATAGGATTCGAACTCATGACCAATGACTTAGTAACCAAGTCTTGTGACCACTAAGCTAAGCACAAACATGTGAAATGTATTGTTGCAGAAGTATATATAATAGTTAAGTTCTGATTACTATATTAACAAACTTATTAGGAGGGGTTTGTAAAATAACCCGAAAATACATAATTTGTCTAAACTTGGCCAAAATGAATAATAAAAATATTATCCGAATTTTTAAAATTAATTTATTTTCTTGTTAGAGAAAACAAAATATCATTATCTAAAATAAAAATGCTTACATTAACTTTGGGCATACAAACTTAATCCACAATAATTAGGTAACATGGAAACTAATATTGAAAAATTTTTTAATGAGGAAATTTTGCTTGCATAATAATAATAAGAACAAATTCTTAGAGAACTCAAGAATAATAGAATACTACGAATTGAGATCATAAACAAAAATATTCAACAATAAGCAAGACAAAAATGTTTGCCTATATTTGAACTCTGAAGTTGAAATCCCTATCCGTTCCTTCTCCTCTCAATTAGCCAATCACTCGTTCCTCCTTTTTTTTCTTTTCTTATTTTATTTTTCTTTCTTTCTCTCTCTCTCTCTCTCTCTCTCTCTCTCTTTATTTCGTCCCGTGAGAAACTTTTTTTTCCCGTGAGAATGAGTTTGTGAGAGGGGTTTTTAAAAGATGATAAAAGGGGGATTAGGTAGAGTAGATAAAGGATTTGTGGAGATTACATTGTATTTGTTAAAGATGCTAGAGCCTATATACCATAAGTGTGAAGAGTGTGTGCATAGGATGTAATATAGCATGTAGTCATTGTTCAGGACAAAACAACAACAGAAGGTCACAAGGAAGTTTTAGCCGCCACATAAAAACAAGACCACCCCTTTGAATCCCATACTTAAAAATGTAATATTTCACATAACCCCAAAAGAATATTAATCAAGTTTGACTAGCCTTAGTTAACCAACCTAACACGTTACTCTTCCTTTTTCCACAAAGGACAAAGCCATTAATCAAGTAAATTTCTTCACGTGGCTCCCCTCACATGGGAGTTGTTATCACATAGTTGTCCTATCCTCCATCCACTATTTCCTTTGCTACTTTACCCTAATCATTTAGTAACATTGATTCAGTGTAAATTTCATAAATTATATGTTCGATAAAAATTTACCATAAATTTTCAACCATCAAATTTCACATACTATAGAAAAACTACCAATAAAATGTCATGAACTTATGCTTAGGATTTACTAACTATATCAATCTTTTAGATAGAAAGAGTGAGGGAGACAGTTGTTAGAACCGGATTAGAACATTAGGTAAGGTTAGGGGGTATTACATCTCACCCACCTTAAAAAGAAATTTCGTTCTCGAAATTTATTCCAAGCATTAAGTAGCTAAACATTACCTGAAATGAAGAGATGTGGATAACGCTGACGAATATCATCCTCTCGTTCCCATGTTACCTCTCCAGGTCCATGGTGTGCCCATGATACCAATACTAGAGGGATAGTTCGATTCTTAAGAATTTTCTCACATCTATCCAGAATCTTTATTGGTCGCTCCTCATAAGATAGGTTTGTCCCAATTTGAAGTTCTGCGATATCTAGGACGTGGGTCTCATCTCGCACATATCGTCGAAGCTGTGATACGTGGAATACATCATGCAGTCCTTCTAAGGATGGAGGCAAGGCTAGTCGGTATGCCACCTCTCCTACTTTATCCAATATCTCAAAAGGACCGATGAAACGTGGACTAAGCTTCCCGTGGCTGTCAAATCTGATAATTCCTTTGGTTGGAGATATCCTCAAGAAAACATGCTCTCCAACCTGAAACTATAGAGGTCTCCTCTTAGCATCAGCCCGGCTCTTCTGTATATCCTGAGCTGATTTAAGGTGTTCTCGTATTATCTTTATCTTATCTACTATCTGCACTATCATCTCAGGACCTAACAGACGTCGCTCTCCCAAGTCATCCCAACAGGTAGGAGATTTATATTTTTTCCCATATAATGCCTTATAAGGCGCCATCTGGATGCTGACCTGATAACTGTTATTATAAGAAAACTCCACTAAGTGTAAGTGATCTTCTCAAGAGCCTTTAAAATCCAGCATGCATACCCACAACATGTCCTCTAAAATCTGTATGGTCCTCTCTAATTGTCCATCTGTCTGAGGATGATAAGCCGTGCTGTAACTTAGTCTAGTCCTAAGACACTGCTGCAAACTCCTCCAAAAGTGTGATAATAATCGCGTGTCTCTATCAGAAACAATACTAACTGGTACCCCATGCAAGCGTACTATCTCCCTCATGTACAGCTGAGCTAAACTCTTCGTTGTCTTTCTAACTCGAAATGGTATGAAACGAACCGACTTGGTGAGTCGATCTACTACTACCCATACAACGTTGTTTCCCTTCTGGCTTCTCGGCAGAGCTGTGACAAAATCCATCGTAACATGTTCCCATTTTGACGCAGGAATAGGAAGGGGCTGTAATAACCCAGCTGTTCTTTGATGCTCAGTCTTCACCTGCTGACATATTAGGTATTTTAACACAAATCGAGCTATCTCCATCTTCATTCCTGGCCACTAGTAATACTCTCTCAAATCCCGATACATCTTAGTGCCTCCTGGATGAATAGAAAGCACTGAACTGTGCGCATCCTCTAAAAGCTCTCTTCTAACATCACCCTTAGGTACACACAACCTACCACGGAATCGCAAGGATCCATCCTCATGTATCTGTAGATCAGTTCTCTCTCCAGACTCCACTTGTTTCTTGAATTTTTGGTACCGAGCATCCTCGAACTGAGTAGCCTTGATCCGATCTACCAGAGTTGATTGTAAATGTAAACTCATTAACTGTCTCCCTTCCCCAGGCAATATAACCCCCATGTTCATCCTCCAGAACTCAGCTAGCAACTCCTGCTGTCTAGTGAGTCTCATCGTCACAGGTTTCCTGCTCAAATGATCGGGCATCACATTAACTCGTCCTGGGTGATATTATAAATCAAGATCATAATCCGCCATAAGCTCTAACCACCTGCGTTGTCTCATGTTGAGCTCCTTTTGAGTGAAGATATACTTTAAGCTTTTATGATCTGTGTACACCTCCACTCTCTGCCCTAAAAGATAGTGTCGCCAAAGCTTTAATGTA